AAAATAAATATGGACCATGGAAAAATAAATTATTTCTACATTTTTTTTTACTGCCTAATATAACTTGTGAATTATTTACACGGGCCAACTAGTGGTTTGTAATAACCTTCTATGATAAATTTTTTAAAAGTCGGTATTTTTAAACATTTTTTCCAATAAATATAAAGTGAATTTCCTAAATCAATCTAATGGAAAACATCCCAGGTCACAAGAAAAAAAGAGATTAAAACTTTTTAATATTTTTTTTTTCTTTTAGTCGAAAACACGAACATTCTGGAATGACAGAATAGTAAAACACATTTTTTGTTTTCACAATTACAGGTGAATCTCGACTTATACTGTAATAAACCTCAACTTAATATGAACTTAGAGCTCATTAAACAGAGAAGTTTATTACCTATTTTTGGAATATTCCTTACACTTAAATTAAAAACGTTTTGTGGGTTTTAGTGGTGCAGATTTTTTTAACACTTCATTTAATTTGTTACTAGTTGTAACATTTTGTTTGGTGAAGAAATAGAAAAACAATATGAAAATGAGTAGATTCTATGTATTATGTGAGGAAGGAATTAATATTTTTTTTCTTTAAAATTCGGTTTAAATTTCTTTCTTCGGTCGATTACAATATTCTATTTTACATAATAGAACAAAATATTTGTACAAATTGCTTTGCTAGGACCTATTTTTAAACGCTGACTGGAAAGATAATAAAACCAAATAATGTCCCAATCATGGGATTTTCTAAACTATTAAAAAAATAAAATGTAAGAACAAATAAATACCTTTAAGAAATGACAAAGTTAATATATCAGCCAGGAAAAAAAGTGTAGTAGAGTATTCAACTCCTAAATACAATATCTTTATAGAGGAAGACATTATTAAGTATACCGAAACTAATGGACAGTATCTTTGTTAATAATTGTCCGATTTTATTTTTGTTTTGTAGGTAATTTAGTTATCTTTATAATTATCAATGGTACAATCAAGAAAATAAATGCATACTTTTTGAGTTATTCCCGTATAAAGTTTCGTTTCCTTCATAACTTTTTTTCCAGGAATTTCGGGAGGGTATTACTATTTTTTGCATGTGAAGGAGAATAATATCTTCAAAATGAGTGGTCAATCATTTGATTTAATGAAGAATTGACGAAGTTATGGCGTACCGACAAAAAAACACGTTTATAGGATTAAACAGTTATTATTAAAAGTTTTAGTTTCTGAAAAGTTCGGTTCCTTAATCAGTTCACATTAGTAATTATTTTTCTCTTGTACACGATTTTTTTAATTATTTAATACAAGCAATATTATAGACAAGTTACACAATAAATAAGAATTATATAAACCACACGTGTAGATCACGAGTTATCGTGCCCGCTTTGAATATTTTAAATTCTATTTGGGGAACAACTTTGAATTGATAAATGATAACAAATATTTATGAGTTGTTGCGACGAAGTTTGAAAATATAAAAATCGCTGAGTGGAGCTGACATATAGACACTCGAGCAGCTGTCGGTGCAAGCTCGTCAATCAAACGATCCTCCATTTTTACACAATCTCTCGATATTCTCTTTGGCTTGCTTCGATATCATCAGCCTCTATCGATATGTAAACACTTATCGATGTAAAAATGTATCTTATTGTTTATCTTTTACTACAGGTAGCTGTCTGACGTCAGACATACTATGGAATTTGCAGTATCTGTTAATGTTAATGCAAGGCTAAAGGTATTTATATCGCAGACGTCGGGTGATGCAACTTGGGAGTATTGGATGAATATTTAATATAAAAAGTGAGGATATTAATTATAAATTAAACTGAATAATATATTTTGATAAAGTCTCTATGATCGTGGGTTATTTTATTGAACCCTGCATAAACTATTTGGCCAGTGAATCAATAGAAGGACTTCTTTTTACTTTCCTACCTATACTAGGTAAGGAAAGTATTGCGATGAGGTCAAATTTCCGATATGCGGTTTTCGACGGATCAATACGTTTCAGAGCCTCCTGAGTCTGTCTGTCTGTGCCATGATCTTCTCGGGAACTATTGAACCGATTTTGTTGCTTATTTTTGTAGGGTTTTGAATACTGTTTTTTTTTTTTTTTAAGGTAATGAAATTCTCTACAAAACTATATAAAAATCGTTCATTGTGGACAACTATTAACGAAGTTATAATTTGATTTAATTTCCTAACTATTTAATTTCCTAACGAACTATTTAATTTCCAATAGAAGATTACGGGTTCATACCCTTGTGTCAGCAAGGGGTAAATGCGAGAGAAAAGATGACTAAGTGAATGTAAGAAAATCTGTTGCCGACATCACATAAGTTCTCTATTTTCTCTACTTTTAACAGAAATTGTTCTTTGACAAACTTAAGCTATGGGTTTTTGGTCAGTTTTTACACTGATCTACGTTAAGCCGGTTTACATTGCTTTAGTTTATCAAGTAAATCGTATTCAAATCTTTTCTTTGATCAATTTTAAGAAAAATAAATCTACTTCATTTTTTTTTGTTTATTGATGGAAATATGTAAAGATATAAAAACCTTTCTGAAATAGCCAGGAAAGTCGTGTGAGTGGACGCACCAGGTCTTTTTTTATAATTTTGTTGAAAAATAATTAAAGTTTCTAAATTTTAGAAATCTTTTCAAATCATTAAGAGTATAACTAGTAATAAATTGTGTGATATTTGAGTTTTATTGAATTTATTGAATTTTATTCCCAAATAAAATATTTTTAATTCAAAATTATCATTCCTTCCTTTTCTGAGGGAAATGTTTTTAAAATTACAGATTAATTATTCGATGAAGCATTAAAATGTGATGAACCGAAAAAAAATTTTGAGATATTATACATACATTAAGATATAACATTACTTTATTTACCTCATGTAGTAACAGCCTCAATACAATTAATATAATATTGTAATATAATAAAACAATTCGAATAATTCGCTCTATACATTGATCAGTGACAAATGACAAAATAATAAGGAAATAATACAACGTGTATCATATATAAGATGGAGAAATCAATTGTTGTTTTGTAGGTAATTGTAATCGATCAAAGAAAAGAAAAAAAATTTTAAACTTATTTATACTCTAAACCAGATGGTTTACAAATTACAATAAGCAGTATTTCGCAAACCGATTTCAATATTTTTTTTTTATTGGGAATTTAAAAATCTTTCAAATAATCTTGGGTGTAATCAACAATATTCGCAAATAATGTTTTTTAGTCCATCATAACATTTGTTCGTTAAATTTCGTATGCATGTGCATTTTTCCACCTGAAGAAGAAGAAGAAAATGTTCAAAATGAGATCAAAATTTGAGGAATAATTAAAAAAGATATGGCATACCGTAAAGAAAAAGAAGTTTTTGAGAAATAATTCATAATAAAGTTAAAGCAGTATTATATAATTATTGTCATGTTAACAGTATATATTTTCACTGCATTATTATTGCACAATTTTAATAATTAATTTGTAGATATGCATTCCGCATACTTCATTAAAACTCATTAAGGTTAAATGGAAAAAAAAATCCTTAGTATTCCTGGAAATCGAACTCGTGTTTAAATTTGATTAGATAACACCAGTATGTAATGGTAATTGTTTGCAAACATGGGAATGAGACATTGTAAAATGATATATTTATCAGAATAATATTAGGTTAAAAATGGCATATTAACTGTGTACGCATTTCATTCATTGTAAATCGTAAGTTTGCCCAGCAAAGAGGTAGTTAAAAGCAAGACAGAGAGGTATAAGCCGAGCTATCCACCGAGATCCCAAGATCCAACTACATTAAAAACAAGATCCCCTGGGATCACCTAGGATCTCGGCCCGTCCATTCATCCCCACTCCTCGGCTTCCAATGCATCCCGTCTCATCCTACTGACTCAGCTCCTGTTGATTTATTATTATTATTATTATTACATTACTTATTATTATTATTACAATATATTTATTTTTTACTCATATTTCGTAGTTGCATTAATCAATACATCATAAGATCAATCTTGTTTGTGCTCAATTATTGTTAATTATTTAAATGTAGAAAGGGGTGTTCATATAATGCTGAAATTACAGCTTATATATAAATAATTAGTCGCTAGATGGTCGCTATCATATACAGATTGAGTCGGAATAATGAAGCTTTTATAAAATAGAGGAAAATCATAAAATTTTATTTGTTTACATTTTATTGGCTAATAACATGTAAACAAAATTTCACAAATGAACAATATTTCAAACGTGTATGAGCATTCGGTTATCGAAGAATATTTTAACAATTGTTCGATTTAATAATTGATCTTGGGGGCCAACTAATTGGACCAACGCGACCAACCCAACGAATTATCTGGAAACCTTTCATCTAAATGTTTAGACAATTTTTACAAATCAACAGTGGTATTTTCGAACATTTATTGAAATAAGACTTTGACAACTGAAATGTTAATATATTTATGAGATGTTGTTTTTAATTAGCCAACAAAATTCAAAGAAATGAAAATCGTATGAGAATACATGGATTTTTTAAATTATTTACCTTGGTGCAACCGACTCTAGGAGAGTTTAACCAGTTGTCTCCTGTATGAGGAACAAGCCGCCAGATATTCCACTTAATCTGGAACCTGGAGAATGGGAGCTTTCTGCCATGAGTCTGGGAGCACAATTAGAGCTTTCTTTTCTCTTTAAAAGGTATTCAAATCCCGAAAAATCTCATGTTAAGGATGCACAAGGCTAGTTGCTGCGAAACCTGGACACTAACCAGCTTTCTAGAAAGAAGCATCGGAAGGTTTGAAATGAAGATCCTTCGCAGGATAATGAGGGCGATCTGGGTGGGATCCAGAGGACCAACGCAAGGAAGGGCAGGGCGAATAAAGAACTGCTTACAGAAACTGGTCAATCTATACCTCATGAAGACAAGGAGTTAAGATAGGCAGGGCATGTAGCTCTCGTAGCCTCCATACAACAATGAATTCCTCAATAATATGCAGAAGATCACGTGGTTCCATGTGGATAGGTCGAATCAACAAAGATTCAATTTCTGCAAAGCTGTGTGTAAAAAACAGGAAGAAAATACCCCAAGGCAGGCAGAGATGAAGACGACGGGTTTGGTGGTTTTCTTTTTAAATAAAGATTAGTCTGGGATAAATTAGTGTATATTGGGTATTCCTGACTATTCTAATTTAAAAAAAAAATATCATTGTTAATTAATTTGAAATAAGAAACTCAATTATATTTTATAGTAGTGTATCGTTGTTAGTTTTAAACAAACAGACGAGTTACAAGCGATGTCAAACTAAAGCTCCGGATCTGTTTACTCCTTCAATGTTTGCCCAAACAAAGAACCCTCACTTTTTCAAGAACCTCCGTGTTGTCTTTGGTCAAGTGTTACCACACCCTTCCGGCGGAGGACCACCGGGCCTTTCCAAATAGTTTCCAGTCAATCACTTGATAATCCAGGCCTGATTATATTAAATCATTAATAACAAAATTTAATATTTAAATGTTTACTACCAGTAATACAATGTTTATTTAAAGATATAAAGATGAATGGCTGAAAAAAGATATTTTAAGGAGTCGCGTTTTTTTTTTTACGTATTTATGTAATTTGATGACTGCAAATTAAAAAAATAAAACATAGTTTATTTTATTTTTTTGGAATATTTTGATGAATGCATAAGAACAGAAATTTAGTGAAACATTAATCATCTAAAACTGAAATGCATTGTACAATAAATAACTTTTATTGACGACAATATTTTTTAGATAAATCAGCCGATAGGACCATTGAGCAAATAAAAATAACCTTAGAACGAACCACAACAACCAGTTACGTCCATAACTACGTTTCGATATATGTCAGGATTCGAGCTTGGCAGAGTCTGAGAATTCAACTATAAAATCGGTATATATTTTATGAACATATATAACATACAAGAATATTAATTACTTAATAATTAATAATCTTTAAGCATTAATTAATAGTTATGTGACGTAGCTGACGCAAAACACTGAATCATTTGCTATGTTTTTTTTTATTGAATATTTTAAACGAAATTCATTTATTGTGAGAAATGTTTAAGGAGTGAGGATCAGAAGGATATTTGGCGTGACGCTATACAGAAAAAAAGATAAACCATTGATTGAACGGTCTCAGTCGCATTGTGCGCGCTTTTTTGAGACCTCTGGTGTTCAACAACGATGCAAATCCGAAAGATGTGATATTGGGAACGGTAAGCTTAACCCGCCTGGTACGAAAGCCCTCAAACAGATAGAAGAGCAGGCAGACTACGACATTCCAGCAGGCAGCTTTGCTGCAGATGACCAGGGTATACAGGTACTGAGAGCTCTCAGAAGGCGGCGCATTTCTTAGCGGAAGGGGTACCTCTCTAACTACTCCCACTGGAAGATGACTTAAAATGAAGAGAGAAGTATCGGCGTTCCTATCAGAAAATGTTCAAGCAAAGATGAATTCAGATATCAGAAATTGGCATATGATTATCAGGAAGTATCCTTTAATGGAAGTATTTTTGAACCGTTTGGTTAAATCTCGCTTCTACATGGACCCTCACGGACTACTGATTATCTCAGCTACTTACCGAGCAGGAAGGCTTCCGTACTAAGCTCCAGATATATGGCCAGAATATCGATCTGTTATGTCCCTAATACATCATAGACCACCGAGCATATCATTAATGCCTGTACCGCCTATAAAGCACCTAAAGCCAAAGTGAACTCCCTCAACTTATGACAGCAAACAACCACCCATACAGCAAAGCGGGTGGAAATATATCATAGGTCCAGCAAACTTCTATTTAGAGCGAAGGAAATCAGTTCTAGGAAAACCACCTGACAACAAAGGCTATATCAAGGAAATGAACATTGATTCAACAACAAGAAATCTATCTTGAAATTTTGGTGAAAAAAAGAAAAATTATATATATGGCTTCTAGCAGAGATTGCATGTCATATGTCATTCCTGCTCGAATTGAAAGTCCCTGTCATAATCGTATTTCCTATATGCAGTGTAGGAAATAAAATAAAATAAAGAAAGAACAGAAGTGTCAAGTTTCATCTCACAGGGCCACCGAGAAATGAATATGAACCGACCCAGGTAGCAATCAAACCCACAACATTCTGAATGGGGTACCCACCTGCCAAGCTATCATCTCTGCTACTGATAAATATACTCTGCTGATTATACGCACATATCATATATTTTATATTAATTCATATCAATTACAATGGTCAATGATTTCAAATGGCGCCACCATAGGAGGCAAGACAGTTTTGACATCCACCCCATAATATTTTATGAAGGTTGCAATTATTTTTTTTGTGCTCTCACTCAAAATATCGGTGTATCGTGACATGTGAAAACCTGATGACTGAACTACTTTTTCATACATGGTTATCTATACCCCTCCTCCTACCCATGTACTGTTATCCAGTTGCAATAACCTTCGAGCCTCCAAATGTCCTCCCTCTCCCCCTCCCCCAATATTCATTAAGGACCAGAGCCTATAATTTTAGTCGTATCGATGATTACTGACCCGGTTACAACTAAATGATAGTACTCACCCCTCTTGAGCTTCTCCAAGGGCTCGTGGTGGGAGATGGGCTCGTGGTGCAGAAGCAGTGGCTGCTCCAGGCTGCTGCTGCTCTCAGGGACCTGTCCACCCCCGGAACTGTTCACTAAGTCCTGGAGGCAGAGGCTCGACTCAGGCATGGAATCCATCACCAGTCATCCTGGACAATAACAACAACAATCCAATCAACGAACTAAAGAGTTAACAATGTATAATAAATTTGATATGGAAAAGGAAATAGGTTTTTAATAAATAGTCTTCTCCTACTCCTTTAAGAATAACCATTCACTGAATAGAAATGAGACTGATAACATATCGGTGACACATGATAAGGTAATTTTAACTTATTTGAGTCATTTAATAATAAATAATCGAGTAATAATAATGTTATAAAACAATTAAAGATGGACATGACAAAAAATAAAAAAAAATTATTATGAATAGACGCATGCAATTCGCATAAGTAAAAAGGAGAGGTACATGATTGGTATTTAGGTATATAAAAAAATCTCCATATATTGAAGTATGTAATATATAATATGTAATATGTAATATTTAAATATGATTGTAAATTGTAAAAAATTTTTTAGACTTGAAAATGGCTCAACGAGCCGAAACGTCGTAATTAGATGTGTAGTCATTAAGTTGACAATATTTTGAAAATTGGCTGATAATAAATAAACTTGAAAAGAAATAGGTTTTGTATTTTTTTAGTTAATAAAAGCAGAGGTTCAAATAGTGACAATAATAGACTTCATAATGGCTGGTACTGGCTTTGTTAATAATTCCAAACATCTGCAGCTTCTAATGTTTTGTTTAAACGACTTAACGTATCAAAGGTTATTATTGTTATAAATATAGTGGTGTTCCTCAAGTAGTATCCTAGGTCCTATCCTTTACACTGTTAATAAAACTGATATTCCAAGCCGTCCTAACACTGTCATCACCACTAGTGTTGCCCAAATACCCAAAAGACTCGTCTTGGTCTTGCACACTCAGTCTTGGTCTTGGTCTTTGTCTTGCGCAAGAGTCTCACAACAGTTTTCCAGTCACCAATTAGCTCATTACTATAGAGATATTACTGTAATTTTTTAGATAGGAGAAATCTAACTAAGCCCGAATGAAAAATTAGAAGAGTTAAATGCAAAAGTTGGTTTTACCAATTCTTTACATATAGGTTCCAACATTGTCAAGTATTAGTAACTATTTTTCCTTAATTTTTATTCAAAAAATCTACATTTTTTTACCAGTCTTGGTCTTGGTTTTACAACACTTAGGCAGTCTTGGTCTCGGTCTTGTAAAGTGCAAGCAATACCAAGACCTATTTTCGGTAAAACTACATATCGTTGTATTTATAGGAGGTATTGGTTGAGAATGTAACAAAAATTAAAAAATCACAAATATAAAATTTATTGTCTTGACGGCTCAAGCTTCAGGCCTTCATTTTGGCTACTTGTATAAAACCTTTATAACAAGTATAATAGTAAAATATATTTTTTTAAATGTTATTTATTATATTGTGTTATTTAATGTATTGTTGAAAAATTATTAACAAATATCCAATATTGTATGAAAGTCGATTCATTTCTCTTGAAATAACGACTAAATCTTGTGCTTCCTATTCGATCTAGAACAGATCTGTAACCAGTAGTTGGATGTTATGAAATTCACTACACGGCAAAAATATCGGTTAATGAATATTTGTTTGTAGCAATATAGGACTTCAGTGGGATTCGTGGGCAGATTAAAAAAAATAAAAATAAAAAATGTTTGTAAACTTAACAACAAAAGCAAGCAAAGATGAGCTGTGATAAATAAATGAAAATAATATAGAAGACAGCAGCTAAGGTTTCACAGACCAATGATTTTTGATCACCCAATAATAACATTAAAAAAATCGAGTTGTGGCTCTAGATCCGGTATCTATACATTAACCACAGCCGGATCTACGGGGGGAGTTTCGGGCTGAATTCGGGCCCCCCTCCAAAGAAAATGGTAAAATGTACCTCTGTTTTATGGAAAAAAATAATCTCTTAAAGTATTATTATTCGTGTAATTACATTTAATAGGACTTCAAGAATCACTTAAGCACCAATTCATATAGGTAGTTAATTTCTTTTTTTCCAAAGGAATTATCGTTATATATATATGAAAAAAAAACCTGGATTAAAAACAAAATTAAATCCTGGATCCGCTAGTGACATTAACTGACGTTGATCAAAAACATTAATTGACGTTTTTGTCTTCAATAGAATATCTATTTGCCTCAACAAGGTAAGTATTACTAAGTTTATGCTTCTGACTTCTCCTTTGAGCTTAAAAATTGGACTAAATTATGAAATTGCTTTCTTTACATTGGTTACTGAAGACGGCCAATATGAAAGAGTTAATCTACGTTGAATAAGAGGCAAAATAGAAGTTGTGTCATGACCGACCGTTTAGAGCAAACAGAAACATTGTTTTTTTCTTTATATTTTTTTCTTTTTTTTTTTTGTCGGTATGACAAACAGACCGGGCGAGATAAGCTATCTTTATGGGCTACGGCATTTGTCACGGGTTAGTACAATTGTAAAATAACACCTTTATTTCGGAGGAGGGCCCGTGTCGTGGTCTTTTTTTTATTAAATATAAATAAATAACATTTTTCACCGAGCTTCGCTTCGGAATGGTCAGGGTTAGAGGAAGACACTCTACATTTTTTAGGATTCATCGCAACAGCTGTTATTTTTTTAAAAAAACGATACCTCAACAAAAACTGGGAACCACGTGTATTTAAACTGTAAATTTAAAGGAAAAAGATTTTTTACATCTATTTTTATTGAGGAATATTCAGCTACAATGTAGACATTTGTTATAGTTATGAAAGAGTACATTCACACCATAAATGCAGACTATACAAAGAGTTAAAAAACAAACATTGTACTATGTAACATACTAAGTAATAAAAGGTATTTACAATAAATAAAAATAAAATAACTTGAAGTTCACTGAAATAAAATAACGCAGGCACACATATATGCGCGGTTTTACATATTACATACAGTTAATTTATTTGCTGATGGAAGATTAATTAAAATTAAAAATTAATTTTGAGATAGAATTATACGAATTAAAAAATTAGTAATTAATTATTTTCAATCTAAAATATATTAAATTTGAAAATCCCATTCAATGCTCTTTGTAATAATCACAAGTTACAAGGTTTAATGTGACTATAATAAGTCTTAATTTAAGTCAAAGCTCTAATGAATTAAATATTGAATAATAAATTGATAAGTAAGGATTTATGCCTCAGTACAGTCTGCCATAAAATCAATTTATTATAAAATAATCCAAATTTTCGCCAATTCAGGCATCTTCAGATAAAAAGTAATTTTTTTTAATTGTTTGCCTAGCTGAGGGCCCAGTTGTTAACAAAATTTATTTTTATCTACTTTATATATTTGTATTTGTCTTGTTATTATTGTTTATTTACAGCTTGAATATAGTTTATCAACATAATAGTGTCTGCCTGCAAGTCCTCTCAGATTATTTGTCTATTTCAGGAGTATACTATCAACAAATTAAAAAAATTAACTGTTTCCCTGAAGATGCCTGAATTGGAAAATATTTGTATTATTTAGTAGCAAATTGATTTTATATAAAAAACTACTGAGGCCTAGATTATTACTTTATATATTCATAGTATAGTCTCTTTCCCATTGTCCTTATTAACAAATGATAAATTGGCATTACTTCATTTAACAATTGAAAAATCAAACCGAGTAAATACCTAATTATGTATCACTCGAAAATCAGTCCTCATGTACCCAATGATTTTAAAATCAAGCACAAAACAAATTTTAAAATAAGAATTATAATATGAGCTAAAAACTAATGTACAGAATAAAATAGAGAAAATTTCAAATCACAGTAAATGTTTACGCCTTAGATAAAAGTACTCGTAAAACATTTATATGTATCTTATTATTGGAATTTGATGTTATTTTACAAATAAAATTTCTCTTATTTATCAAATTGAGTTACCGCCCACAAGTATTTTATTTTATGAAGGTGGCCAGTAGGCCTCCCCCTCCCCCTCTAACATTTCATTGTAATTTACTATTGTACAAAAATAACACTAAACATTTCAATAATCCATAAAGGTGATAATCGTATTATATTACAGATAAACAGCTGTGAATTTGAGCCTTCCCCCTCCTTATAACGGCTCAAAAATATATTTGGATGGGAACAACGACATATAATTATTAATAATAATAATAATAAGGCTTAGCGAACCCGAAGGTTCGATGCCGACACCGCCAATCGCTTGTTACACACCTCCCTCCACCGTTCGCTGTCCAAACCCAGTCCCTTCAGATCGGCTTTAATGCAATCTTCCCATCTTCGCTTCGGTCAACCCCTCGGACGCTTACCATTCGGCACAGCAAATATTAACCTTTTAGGAATTCTCTCGTTACTATGCCCAACAACTTTACAAGCCCATTTGATTCGCCGCGATGAAATTACTTCAATTATATTACCCGGATACAGCTCACGCAATTCGGCGTTGTGTAACCGTCTGAACTCTCAGGTTAACTCATCCTTCTTCGGTCCGAATATTCTACGCAATACTTTATTTTCAAAAACCTTAAGACGCTGCTCATCCCTTAATGTAAGCGGCCAAGTTTCGCAGCCATAAAGAACTGTAAGATAATTGTTTTATAGATTCTAATTTTTAAGTTCCGGGACAAGAGGCGCGAACTGAGTAGTTTTGTCACAGAAAAATTCCATATAATTATTAATTCCATAATTATTAATCGTTATTAATTATTAATAATTAAATTCCATATAATTATTAATCGCATATTATAATAAAAAAAGGAACTAAAATGAATGAAATGAAATGTCCCAGGTGTGTGTCTCTCTTTTTTTACCTAAAACAAGTGCTTTAACAAGAAATTTGGACTTAAAACTTCAAAATCTGTACTTCAATCTCATAAAAATGTGTGCATTATTTATAAAAATTAGCATAAATATATTGAAAATTATTAATTAGTCCCTTTATTTTCTTTATCTATAACACAATCTTTAGGATATTTCTTGTTCACTGAGGCTTTTTAAAAAATAATAATATTTTTTACTAGACATATTCTGTAGAATTTAT